CTCAGGCTCAACTTTGATGGCCTTCAGAAAGGAAAAGAGCCTTTATGCATACTAAAGGCCTTTGCTCAGCCCCTCTTCTCACCCATACTTTCTAAAGTGATTGGAGATGGGTAAAAATAAGCAATGTCACACAAATGCATGGGGACAATAATCCAAGTTCAATTCTTTGTGAAAACGGGATGGATATTTTTCACCAACAGATGCAGCCAGCAACATAGGTAGAAACCATATGGATGTTGACCCACTCTTTACTTTGCAGTGAACATATCTCCATGTATCAATTACTAGAATGGCAAACAAACTGCAAAATCAATGTCTATTGACTATTTTTCTTAGGCCAATCATCCAATGAAACAATGGAGTGCTTCACTAGCAGGTCTCCAAAAATTGAAGGACTTGGGCTAGGAAAGCTGAGTTGTGTATTGATGATTTCATGTTTGTGGAATGAAGTGGAAATGAGAACAATGAGCTAAAGTTGAATGACAGCAAGATGTTTTTGTGGGACAGAATAAAATGCTTGACAATTTAGTCAAAATATTAGTATTTCCAATGATGTGTCTTTCACATTCCTGAAATGCTTTTTATTATTTTTATGTTTCTTTGCAGGAAGAACAAATTATTTTTATGTTTCTTTGCAGGAAGATAAAGTTCTCGCCCCACATCTTAGGTCACAGTTCAGCAAGGCGTTTAAGCATGTCACTAACTTTATTCAGATGATCAAAAGCATCCACTTGTTTTCCATTTGCTGAACCAGAACCAGCAAATACACATGCAGAGATGTTCCACTGAACTCAAATGCAAAGTGACTTGCATGAATTTGTGTTGGAAAAGTTGGGACTGCATAAGGAATGGTATTTAGCTCTTCTGGTATATTTTTCTTACAGTAAATTTCTAAATGATTTGCAGAGTAGGTTAGTATCATTCCCATTCTATGAAAACAGAGAAAAGCACTTGTTTTTAAGTAGATCATTGGCAGAGCCAGGATTAGATCCCATGTTTTCTGAACAGCAGAACAATGAATTATCTGCAAGGTCATGCAACTTTCTTTTTATGCTTAAATAATTTTTCAGTTTTATCTCCCCTTACTTTTTATGGTGGTTAGATGAACTACTTTAGTAAAAACAGAAAGTACAGGCAGAGAATGGCATGCAAGAAATATGAAAAGAGTAAGGCTCAATTGTTACTTGAATGTATATACCTAAGTTTTCTTGTGAGGCTTGATCCAAAGAATGACTCCCTACTAAACATGACATTACTGTAAAGTGAAGAAAAGTTATTAAGATGAGACGTTAATGATTACCCATGAAAAGCTCTATGAAAAAGAATGGGAACAGCCTTTCATTTGTAGTTAATGTAGTGTGCAGATCAGAGTGGCTTTTTACCCCTTCCTGTTTTGGGCAGATGCATTAAGAAGAAATGCTGACAGTGAAATTTTCCACCTTGCAAATAATGATTTTCTTTTCATTATGCTTTTATTACTGGCAATACAAAAATGCACAGCATTATATGCATTCTTTCATACTCACATAATAGGAAAGACTAGTACCAATTCTGCCACTTAAAAAAATCAAACCAACTTTCCAAAGGCAGAGAAATATTATTTATCTTGTAGAGATAAGGAAACAAGGATAAATTACTTTTCTGCAATCATGTAATAATAAATCTAGGAATGAACATGCTTTCCTGATGTCTAGTTCTACAGCTGGACGATGCCGACTAGGAGCAAGACCTTAGAAGAAAGTTCAAAATCCTTCACTAAAGTGCCTGTATGTACACGTGATTCAAAATTCTTACACTAGTCAAGACCAGTGGAACAGCTGCTAACAGTGCTGAAAAACAGGGTCCACAATTCCTTCTTCAAACATAGAGAAAAAATTTTGGTTCAAAATAAACAATATGTCCATCAAGCAAAGGTCCATCCTAAAGGCTGGGAAATGCAGGTCAAGCACCTACACTCAGCGCGTTTGCTGAATGATTTGCTGCACTCCAGCAGAAATGAGCTTTAACATATCTTTCTCATAAACCTTCCTTCTTGGGAGCTAAACAGATGAAAAGGCTTTGCAACACGTGCAGAAGAGCACTTGCTATCTGAGATTTCATGTGCTGGTAGTTTAAGGCATTGATTAAGGAAGAAAAAGCTAGTGGCATCTCTGGTATGAAGTCAGTAAAATCCCCACCAGGAAGCAATGAATGAATACCACAGCCCCAGAGCCTTCTGGTTTGGGGGACTACACAGGGCATGTAGGGAACACGTTATTCTTAACAGAGCAGCACGATATGTACCACTTCCCTTCACTCTTAAAGGACTCAGCCTACTATCTAGCTCAAGGGTAGTCCAATGTTCTCTTCATCATATCTCACATCTTCACAGTTTTAGTTTAAAGGGAGCATCCATAATGCCTTTGGCTGCTGCCAAGCTTTAACTGGCTTTCTACTATCACAAGTCCTTCCCTGCAGCCTTGCATTGGGATCCAGATTCTGAAATGGACTCTTCCACTCTGTTGTCTACCCTGTGTTTTTCCCAAATGGTCTAATAACAAGGAGCTGCATCTAGCTGTGACTTTGTCATGATGCCAACTCCTGCTTCCAAGGAGAGATCCTAGAAGAATCTACAACTCTACAACCATGGAGTTCCTAAAAAGCTTTTGCACCACAGAATAGAAACCCTGCCACTTAAAGCACTACCCATCCTCAAATTTTCACACAGCCAGGCCTCTTTTGCAGTTTATTAACTAGTTAAATTTTCTGACTCTTCTAGGAAAGCTTTGGGCCAATACTTCTCTCTTCTTTACCAGCCACTGTTTAGGCAATGTAGTTTAGTACTACAGCTTTCCCGTTAAGTACTTAACTGATGCAAGAACCTGGAGACTGAGTGCACTTATGGGCTCTTCTCTCCACTAGAACCGCATTCCCTTATTGCTCATTTATTTCAATACAGCCTTAAATGCAAACAGCAGTGGAATACGAGTAATACTTTCCATACTAAATCACTGCAGGAGGAAGACAATTTTTTTTTTTTTTTTTTTTTAATTATCTGGTCTGTAAATAAGAGTTTTATGAGAAATGGGAGGTGGGACTGTCAAAACAACCAGATTTTATGGCTCAGTCCCATGTCTACTGAAGTTAGTGGATGCTCCCACAAGTACAATCATTTTTCTGTTTACCTGGAGGGCTTCCAATCCCTTTTATTGAATGCTTATTTCCATAAACACATTCCTGCCAATAGGAAGGCTCCAATGCAGGTTTACTGATGATTTTGCTGAAGGTTATTACACATGTAACAACCTAAAACCAAGATATATCCAGATAGAATGAGGGGCCTTGGGATTACAATTTTAAAAATCTTGAGCTGGGAGTCATACTTTTCAGTTTTTAATCCAGTGCGCCAACATAAAATGATTTCTTCTACTGGCCTGAAAGATACAGTAACTCAGAAGCTACTCCACAAACTGTTGTGTCATTGCAGGTGCAGGAGCTTCTCTAGGGGAGCTGTGACCAACAGCAAACTGTAGCAATCACTCACTTGCCTAATTTTAATCTGCTGCTGCATGTTAGCCAGAACACATTTTGGCTCAAGGTATGGAGTTACATACTCAAAAGGATTTCAGCTCCTAGGCTCTCTCCTACATATTGCAGGCCAAAATTCAGCTGTTGCCAACCCTGGAGTTGGCTAAAATCTCCAGATATCTACATTAGTGCAGCTGAGGTTGTTCATGACTGCTTAGCCTGGGCAGTAACACAGATATATAGTACTTTAGGTTCAAGAAGGTTCACAAACTGGGTAACTCCCATCCAGGCAGTCCTTGAAGAGAAGCAGGCTAGCTCATGATGATGGTGGCAGGAGGAAGGAGGTGTCTTTTCCCAATAATTCAGCACTACAGCACTTGCTGGTATCATAAGAAAACTTGGGATAGGTTTTTCTTTTCTCGTAAAGGAGGCTTGAACCCAAAAAATTCATATGAGAACAGCAAGTGTGAATTTGGGGTTTTTTGAGTTTCCTTTATTGAAGCTCTCATGTATTGCATGAAATGTTTAAAATCCCAGGGACTGGAACCCAGGCCTGTCCTCTGACTAACAGTTTCCAAATTTTGCTACAATTCTTGCTCTTTTTCTCTGCATTGTAAATGGAGATGCAAATGGAAAGAGTTTCAACACGAGTCTTTGGAACTATTCATCCTTTAATTGGTATCGACTTCCTTTGTGGGTGATCCACTGACAGCAGTTTAGCATTAGGTATTTCACATTTTTGACCTAAGAGGTAGAATTATTTTATGCACTTTTGAATTTGGAACTTAGCTGGAAGAGGTTATGAATATATCATTTCCGTTTGAGACCTCACAGGTTGACTGACAAGGACTGCTCTGCTGTAGTCTTCAGTGACTGACCAGTATTAGGATCGACGACTACTTCTTTCTCTTTGCTTGTAAATTCCCCAAAGTGACTGGGAGCTTCCCCATCTGTTTCAGCAGGGGTGGGAAAAGGCCTCCAATCTAACGTAGCTTTTTTAGTACTGCTAGAGAGGTTGGCTATCCTGCTGATCCATCTTAACCATCCATCTTAGTATTTATCATCAAGAAATCTTTGCACATGATGAATTGCCACAGACTTGACCCCTTACACCGCAACATTGCTCTGTGCAGGACTGTTGAGCAATAACATGAAACAGAACTTTAAATTCACCCCAGAACAACCTGAATGCCAAACCCTGACTTTATGGCATGAATCAGGAGAAATCTAGATTATGATTAATCATAACAAACAATAAAGCTGTTTACAGACAATCAACAAGCAACACTACATTTGTATGATTAGTATTTTAGCTGTGTTAAATTGGGAAAAAAGCAAGCAATTAGGAAATGGATTGGTTAATCATTTTTAATGACTACCTGTGGTGTTAGTAGCGTGTTTTGGTTAACAGCTCATGAATCCACAAAGAACATTTAACCTGCATCCTCCAATAACTGTATTAAAACAGAGCTATAATAATGGCAGCTACTTACCTGGCAGTACCATCCAATTGCTCTTTCCTTTTATAGAAGAGAGGAAGCATTACAAGAAAGCAAGGAGAGAAGAATTACATAATAAATTCAGCAGATTTTTTCAAATGGAAATTTATAATCTATTGCTAATGGTTTATACCTCTTTTGTTCTGTGACCATCACTGACAGCAGAATAAAAGCGACACTTTCAAACAGCCATAAAACAAAGAAAGTGATACAGGTTCCTGAAACCAATCTGTGCTGCTTAGACAGGCAATCTAGTCTTTGGTGAGAAGTGCCCTCTCTCCCAGGGCCTTATTTGCAAAACACCTATTAAATTTCAGGTCACATTTGAATCACAGAAGAACCTACATACAATGAACAAGCTTGAAGTCACGGTAATGAGTCTAGACTCCAGGCAAGCCTGAGAATTATTCCTTGAACAAAACCTGAGGTCAAGAAACCCTCTAGAAATGATTCTGTAGTGGATAATGTGGGGATAGATAGAGAGTGAGAAAGGATAAAGAAAAGGAAAAAAAATAAGCCTTAATTAAACACTTGTCGTGGTTTTTCTTAGAGACTTCCTTTTTGACCTAAGTGAAGAAAGAGTTAATATTTTTAATTTGCCCTTTGTGAAGCAGGAGCCTGAAATGCTTCTTCAAGTCAGTTTTGCACAACAGCTGGAGCTGCAGTATTAGTCCAGTGAGCACAACGTACATGTAGAGACCTCTGCTTGAGCTGAGCAGTAGTTTAAGGGCACTTTTTGTCAGAATGAGGCATAACAGCAAGTCCAGAATGAAAGTTTAAAGCATAAACTTGGATAAGTAATGCCCATTATTAGCAGCTATATTAGTCTATAGCTAAAAGTGTAGGCTTTCATAGGGCCAACATTTTAAAATGTTAAGAACTCAAGGTGAGGAAGATGCCTGTTTGACAGGCAAGAAAAGTGAAGATCAGGAAGACTTATATCCATAAACATATATATGAGTGTCCATTAAGTCTGAATGTCTTTATGTATGGAATGCTTTCCACTGAACTCAGAAATGGTGACTGAAATAAAACCATGACCCCAACTCCCCAGAAAAGTTTCCTTGTGAACCTTCAGTTAATAGTTTCAGTGCAAGACAGTTTTGAACATGCTTTGGTTGTCCTCCACTGAATTATCCCCTTGAGCAATCGATATTGCCAAAAGACAAGTATTTAACAAACATTAATTATGTTCACATGCCATGGCCACCTCTGTGAACAACACAATTCTCAGGCTAGATGAGTTAAAGAGGGAAAAGTAAGGATTTTCAGCATAGCCCATATCTTAAAACACACCACCGCATCATAGAAGGTGTAAGAAGTACAGGCAGCTCTGAAATCCAGAGCTAAAACTTTATCAGGATCAAAATTACAGAGGGAGAAACTGAGATTTCCAGGGCAATAAACTCCAGAGTCTTACACAGGTGATGGTGAGGAAGCCTTCTCCTTTAATGCCAACATGAGACCCACTGATGGAGTTATCCATGTGCCTCACCAGCTGAAGGGAGAAGAAACGGATCCAGAAGCCACAAAGCAAGTTTTTCAGTCTCAGCCAGGAAGTTAACTGGCAACTCTCTGTTACCTACAAAAGCCTTATTGATATATATAAAGTCTATGTTTCCTGTCCTGACTTTACTTCACATAAAATGATGATGGAGAGGTGGACAATGCACTTACCTGAAAAATGGAAATGATACAATTGATTCATAAAACCTCCAGGTAGCAACTAGATCAATCCTGTTGGGGTTAGTAGCATAGTATCTCCAGGCAGCCTGAATTACAAGGGAGAGGAAATAGTGTTAGGTAAAGCTATTTCACAGTCTGACAGCAGCCAGATTGTTTCAAAGAACATAATGATGCACCTGAGTCACTATCGGGAAATTAATTACTAATCAGCCTTACCAAATGAGTGTCACTATATGGCAAAATTATTGACCCTGGATTATGATCTGGGAGGGCTATTACAGGAGACAGGATATGGACAGAATCACCAACATCAACAAGACATTATATTTGACTAAACTGGTTTTATTCTACTCTCTGGTATGTCTAAAAGAGCTTCAAGCATTGCTGGACTTCTCCAATGTTTCTGGAATTGCTTAAGCTAGTTTACTATGTAACGTACCATCAGAGGAAATTTTGCTGAGCCATTTTCTATTTCAGCATTTAGTTCCAATCAAAATTCTCTAAGCACATACCTAAAAAATACTGTAGCTAAATTAGTTACCTGCTAAATGGAGCTGCTTTAATTTAAAAGGTGAATTCAATTCACAACTCATCCTTCCAGTCCCTTCTGTTTGCTAAGGAGTGTTTTTAATGAGAACAGCATCATATGCCAGTCAGCCTGTTTCTCCTGAGGACTGGTTTGATCCTGAGCAGTTCTGAGCACCAATGCTTCCATCTCACATCACAAAAACTTTCTCTGTCTCTCTGTGGAAATGCTGCCATTTACTTCACTGCCATTAGGGTGTGCTCCACACCTACTAAGAATAACTCCTGTCAAATTTGTCAGCCCCCAGACTAGTAATTTTAATTTTCTGAATTCATAACAAAAGCCATAACTGAACCCTGAGTGAGCTAAGGAGTCTCTTCCCATTGAATCCTCTGATCATCCATTGACATAACAGAAGATCCAGGGTTTGTTTCAGTTTTTACAAACCACACATACTATTTACCTTATTTGCCTTGATTGAAACAGTCACTTCTAGTGCTGGTTTCACATCAATAACAACATAACTTTGTTTGAACATAAAAGCTTTCTCTCAAGGGAACTGACAAAACCTGGATTTTGGAAAGAATATGTTTTCGACAGCTTGTTTTCTTTGATTTTGTGGCACTGATGTAGAAGTTGGTTAGTTTCCAGAAGTTAGCAGATGAGACCCTTTCTTCTAAAGACACTGTGCTTCTGAAAGATATTCTGGGAATTGAAAGATTCCTCAAAAACTGCAAGGACCTCTGTATTATCTAGCTCGATGTGAAAAAAACTGACACCTTTACAAACACAGCTTCTCACCTCCTGAAATGGGAGATGAGAATATGGGCAGGGGGGAAGTGGTGGCCATTGTTAACATGATGCAGCAGTCTTCATACACAACACTTTTTCAAGGAGGGGATAAGTGGCTGCAAACCTGAATGAGTTCAGCTGCTGGCTTTCTTCTTTTCTCAAAATGTTTTTGACGATGTTGCTCCTGAACCTTCAGTGCCAGACCTGAGCCCAAAATACCCTGAAAGCAGAGTGATGCAAGATTGTAGACATTTCTTACTGAGAAAAAAATGGATTAGCGATGAGAGGAAACAGGTCTGTGGGTGGAGATGGAGATGGCTACATCGAACCTCTGTTCAGTACAACATGCCTTTCCTGCTGCTCCACTGATGAGACACAAGGTTGTCATGACCCTCTCAAAGACCACAGGCCACACCAAATCATTTTAAGGTCCTCGACAGGCTTCTTCAATGTCTACTGCCTTTCTAAGATGGTGGTGTCCAGGTGATGTATTACTTTCCACTCAGGGTACAGTGAAAATGTGCTTGTGTGATAAAAGAGCTATGCTAACCGTACTCTGGATTTGGGTGTGGGGAATCTCTCATCCTCCGTGAAATTCTTTCCAAGTCTCAATCTAAATATCCTAACATCTGGACTTGGGATGGTTTCTGTTGCTATTCCATCTCACTTAGATCTTATCTCATTCTTACCTGAGGACTTTGCAGAGAAGGCAAATATTTGGCCTATGTAACATAAGAGAACAAATATACTTTCTAAAGCAATTTAGAGATCACTTCTTAAGCAGCCAGAGTAGGATTCACCTGGCCTGTGCCAATGAGCTCTGTCTCAGAAAATACCCACACATGGCTGGAGGAGTATCAGGGTGACATATTATTCCCAATAAGCTCTATGCAAAGTTGGGAAGAAAGGAGTTTGATTTACTGATATAGAACAGGTCAAGTGTCTGAATCACTTCTTAAAAAGGGATTTTGATTCCACTGTCAGTTTTGATCAGTTTACCTTCTTTGTGCAAGTGCACAGCACTGGGCTGCATCTAACAGAGGAGGGGGAAAGTACTTACTGCAGGAAGAGCAAAGAAAGACACTCCAATGAGAGAGAACGTAGCTGCAATCAGCCGTCCCTCCCATGTTTTGGGGGTCTTGTCGCCATACCCGATCGTAGCGAGGGTGATCTGTGGGCAGAATGACCAAGACTTCCCATAAGAAAAACAAAGCCAATAGCTCTGCTTTAAATGTCACCATGACACCTGCATAACTCACTTAGCTCTACGGGTGCTCGTGCACAGCTTCTAAAAATAGGATCTTGGCGATGGTCCAACCAGTTTTTTTTAATGACATCGTAGTCCTGAGGCATTGCACCAGAGAGAATGGATTCAGTCTTAAAGCAGCTGCCTCTCTAGGATGCATTTGCTGAAAGGGAACACCATGTGACATTGCACCCAGAGTGAGTCTCCTGCCCACTGTCAGTGCAGTTAGGAATGTAAACTTGCCAGTTTACAGCTTGCAGAGCTTTAACAAACAATCAGGGCTACCTCTCCCTGAAGTCTCAGTTTCTGTAAAACAAAGATGACTGAAAACTTCCTCCTTTCCTGCACAATTGCTAATTTCCAGCTGTGTACCTTTTCTCACCAGTGAGACTCTACCTAAATGTCCTGGATACGTAAGGATATGAAAATAGACAGGTGTTCTATGCAACTCTTGGGACCTTTTGATTAATAACGATGGGAAGGGATCTTGCCATTTATGAATGAACTGCAGTAAATAAAAAAATATGCTGCTGAATTTTAGTCACAGCATGATATAGACTCCCCTAACTATTGGTAGCAAAGCAACATGAATTCTGTGTACCAGGTGGCAGGAATATTTTGTGATCAAATGAGCAGTAACACAAACCTATACTCCTCTCGTTATCACAAGAGAAAAGAACAGATGTATCAAAGGTCCCTCTTGCTCAGTATCCTACCACCAATGGCATCCCCTGACTGATTCTTGGGGAATGCATCTGAGACACAAAACAAGTGTGGAGTTACCCTTTCCAGACACATTTCGGACTTGTTAAATCTCATCTCATTAATCATTGCCCAATGCTCCAATCTATCTAGATCCTTCTGCAAGGTCTCTCGTACCTCAAAAGAGTCAACAGCACTTCCCAGTTTGGCTAGATCTGATTTTGCCATTTTCTGAGGGATGTAGCTCTCACAGGCAGGATACTGCTGTCATGAGAGCTAGGTCTCCCACAGGCATAGGCTCTGCCAGTGCAGTTATACCCAAAGAGACACTCCTCTAAAAGACAGGTTTCGCAGAAGCCAAGAGAACAGACTGATTTCTGAAAGGAGTTTAAGCACCTAAGGACCTTTGTCTGACTGAAAACAGGGATATCAACAGGGATATAAGTTCTGTTGAATGGTTGTAGGGGCATCCCTACTTTGGTAATGTTATACCGGTAACATGGTCTTCACCCAAATTTAGCAGCACTTACACTGTAATCCTTAACATCAATACTTTATCTGTTCCCAGATATGAAGTTTTTAAGAAAGGAATAAGGTATTTTTGGAGTCACTTACCAGTCCCCACCATAGTGCATCCGCGTAGGTTTCAAACTCTTCCTTCATCTCCACCCCATTAGCATCCTTTTCAGGAACATCTTTTTCAACCAGATAAACAAGAAATGAGGATAGGATGAGTGTCAGGAACCCGATGTACCAAGCAGTGATGAGCTCCTGCAAAAGAAACAGATGGACAATGGAGGGCCTGAAAACAGTCTCAATACCCACAGTGGCAGAGTAAACGTCAGGAGAAGAGAGAAGCACTGAGGATAACAGCAGAGCTGCCACTGCTGTCTTGGTCACAGTCCATGACCAGCCCACCTCAGCACTTACTGGGAAATAATGCAGAGATTTACAAGAATTAGCCCTTACATGGCATCTTCCTTGGGAACAGCCTGGAGCAATCTGTTGTTGTAGTTCTGTTTAAAGCTGGGTTAAGGGCTTAGCTACACACATGACACAGGGTGCTGCGGGGCTCTGTCCCTGACCTTGACTCTTCCCACTCCTGCTGCCTCTAGGCTTGGTCAGTCTTGGCAGGCAAATCAACAGCTCTGCCCTCTCCCTACCTCCATGGAGCCAAGGCTGCAGGACGCAGTTTCTTCTCTTAGGCGTATCAAAACAGGTTCTGATGTATGATTTCACCATGAATTGATGCAATATGAACAGACTTTGAAAATTGTCTGTGTGAAAACAAACCTGAGCTTCCTTGTTTTAGAGAGGGTGACAATAGTGGAGTGTGTGGTTAAGCCTACTGAGCTGTGAGATGCAGCAACCCAAGTTCAAATCCTAGCAATGTCAAAAACAAAGCAGAACTATTTTGGTGAAGGTCTTCACAAGAGGGTAAAAAATCAACATTCCTTTTGTTTTCTGAGCACTGCATTTGCAAAAAAAAAAAAAAAAAGAAAGAAAGAAAGAAAAAAAAGGTTGTAGATGAGAATTTCATAACTGAGTCTTGACATAAGTCAACTTTCTTGGCTGATTTCTCGTGTGCAACCACAGAAAGAAATTTGTTGGCTAGCCTTGTTATCAAAATTGTTTCTTTAGTGTCTCCAGTGAAGCAAAGTTCTTGCAACCTCTTCATATCTCCCACAGACAGCTGAGATCTAAACAGTGGTGGTTGGGAATCAAACAAAGAACATTTGAATGAAATCCCACACAACAAAGCCTTAAACAAATTTGAAACAATGTCTTTGTCACATAGACTTCTTCCATGATCTCAGTTTCCCAAGAAACACTTTTGACATAAGTGTTTATGTGCCACCTGCCTTGTAGCAAGTTACATGGGGAAGAAACAGAAGTTGGTATGAAATGAAGCAGGGTGGGTATCCCTATCAGCCATGACAAAGAAGCAAAGTCTAATTATGCTGTGCCAGCTGGCATTTTAATTTTCAAGAACCCCTAAAATGTCAGGAATGTCATTCATGGATAAGAAAAAGCAGTATGCAGCACAGAGTATACATAATTTTTCTACACCCTGTGCAGGTGAGAAATCTCATCTAGAGGATTTTTATGCAGATAGTTTTTAACTTGTAATAATGTTTGGTGAAAATGCAAGAACACAACGTATCTGTCTGGTGTGAGACAGGATGCGTCTGACTATAGCATCAAGTCAGACTGAGCAAAGATGGTTTTAGAAATTTTGTCTGTCTGGGTTCACACTGTATGCATCTTGGTATTGCCTGGCCCATGCTTCCAAAGAGAAATTATACCAGTACCTCCCTCCAAAACCACATTTCTGCTGACCAGCCTCTTTCCATGCCTCTGGAGTCCTGTTCCATCTGTTGATCAGGCAAGTCTGAGAAGCCACTACAAACACGTTCCAAATACAGAGGCATTTATGTCAAAGATTTCAACATACTTCACCGATAAAGGGATGTTCCTGCTCTCATTCAGTGTAAAGGCAAAATTCCTGTTGTAATGACTGTGGGAATGAACACTACTTGTCACTTCCCAGCACCCTTATTAAGTAGAGAAGGGTAAAACAAGGCATAGAAATGGTTCAGAGAATCGAAGATGGAATAAAGCTGTAATGACAAAACTATTGCTTGAACTACTAGACATAATCCCAAGGCATTGCTGTACCTGTGCCTCCCCTAAGCCCTGCAAGATCCTCACTTACTTTGCTATGTGCACAAATGGCTGATCCCAAAAGTTTCCATGTACCGCCCCGCCTGTCCATTCGGAGCATCCGTAGGATCTGAAGGAAGCGCAGGCTTCTGAGAGATGTGGCCAGAACATTGCCCTGGTTCCCAACAGCAACCACTGGCACTGAAGCAATCAGCACAAAGATATCTGCAAGGCAAAAAGAACAAAGCCTGCCAACAAAAGTGGCCCTATCACCTGCTTCTTAATCCCATCTGGTTGTGTTGCAAATTTCCCTAGGCAAATTTTAAAGTTGCCTGAAAATGCCTTCTCCTGCCAATTAGACAGATATCTGCACCTGCCACACAGTCAGCGTCATGCACAGAACCCACCAGAAAGCCTCATAATCTATTTACAGACTGATGCACTGGACCTGAGACACTGTCTGAACTAGCTTAGGGAAGAAACAGTGTTCAAACGCTAACAGAAAAACAACTTTATATTCATCTGTCCCACAGGAACACCATAGTGAACAGGTCACCAGATAAGAAATTCAGGTTTTGATAGTGCATCTAGTATTTTGTTCTTTTGGACAAGTTTTCCTATGAAAATCTCGAAGTCAGTAATACTATTTTTTGAAAGCACTCACAGGGCCAATTTGCTGATCAACTGAAGAGGTTTGAAATGCAAATCACATCATTTCTTCTTTTATTTCTTTCCCTTTCTTTTCCTCGTTTCCCCCCTGCTTTTTGGTCCTATACATATATGAGAAAAAAAGTGGTACCAAAAGGCTTCAAACATTCTCCAGGCACTCGGTCTTTGAATTGTCTTCACATTGTATTTCCAGCCAAAAAGAGTGGCACCAGATGGATTTCAGATTTATTCACTTTCAATCATCCTTAAAACAAACTCTTACCAATGACAACCAAGAGATGTTATTAACAAATCCAGTGGGATTTTTTCTGTTCTTTACCCAGATATCAATGAAGATTCATTATCAGAAGTGAGATGACACTTTTACCAAGAAGGTATGAGACGTTACCAATCCCACCTGCTCACACCATGCTCTATTGCCTTCACAATGCTATTAGAAGTATTTATACAACAATAGCATCCAAAGGAGCACTACTAAACTGAAGATAGCATAGATGCACAAAGAAAATTTGTTCCAATTTTGTCTACCATTTAGACCCACAAGATGAACAAAAGGAGGGAGAGGGAAGAGGGTAGCGTGTACTCATATAACTGCAGCACCACGGCTCCCCAGAGTGCTATGTGCTGTACAAATAAAGAATAAAAAGCTAGTGCTTGGCCTGAAAAGCATCACAATAAGTGAGAGAGTCCTGGAAACTGTGAATGAATGTGGATGTTCATGACAGGTGTTCAGGGCAAAGTGAGCTCCTAAATGTTGGCTGGTTGGTTTGTGGACATAATGGGGAGTTTTAGGAGGGGATTCAAACATGAATAATGAGTAGTTTTATGATAGTTGTATGGCAGTGCCTTCCAAACCTGAAAGATAACATGGGTGAAATCATGAAGATACTTGTTTAGAAATACAGACCAACATTACAAAGGTAAAACACAACATTTGAATGTCAAAGAGGGTGGGGGAAGATGGCACAGTGTTGGGATCTGAAGTAGTCTGAAACTGAAGGCAGACAGAGTATATTTTGGGATGAGCTTAAGAAAAATGCAGTGGGACCCAGGACAAGAAAAATGTGATTGAAGAGTAGAAAGATCCACTTTTTTCTCACTGACCAGCCACCAGAGTGTCTCAAATGAATTGTTATTGCCAGGTACTTCAAATAACTACTCTAAGCATGACAGAGCTCCTAGCACAAAGGGCAGATCTGATTTCAGTGCTCTTTGCACTGCCATTCACTGGTTCTTGGACATCCCCCCCAAACTGGCTTAGAAGGAAAAGGACATAATGGGTAAAACAGTAGTAGAGAGCATGTGCTTACCCAGCATGCATAAAGGCTTCCTGGCAAATTTGAGTCTCCCCCTCCATCCTTTGTAGCGACAGCAACACCCAGCAGCCCAGATTCTTAAGGCAAACTCTGCTCCAAAGATGAAAATGGCAAAAGTTTCCTGTATCAAAGACAAAAACTGTTGTTAGATTTGTAACAAGTTTTGCAGTAATTCTGGATACATAGAGACAGCTGAAGGAAACAGATGAGGTGCAAGTGTTGGGGTATGTGTGTGTGAGAGAGAGAGAAGAAAAAAGTGGGGAGGAGAATCTAGGTTGATGAGAGAGGCAAGACAAAGTAGGACATAACTTTACAGCCTGCTATGTACTCTGCAGAAAGGATGTGCCTCTGCTGTAGGGCAAATGTGAAGTGCTTACCCTGCCTTGGTGGAAGGGCAATTACTTCACAAAAAGACCTCCTGTTTCACACAAAATGAGAAGACATACGTGAGTGGTGACTGCAAAGTCCCCAGTGCACTGTGCACCCACACCCAGGGTTACCCACCAGCAGCTCATTCATGCAGCTGTATCTATAGAGACAGGGACAGGTTACAGTATATTCATATGTTTATAAATTTAAGGCAATGATAAAGGCATATATAAGACAATTTTAAGGCATATATTATTCCCTTAAATTTCTGATGCATGGAAGAATGGGATTTTCCACCTTGCTTAAGAAGTCTTCTAAGCATCGGGAGGGAATGAGGAGGAAAGAGCTTCTCTGAGGTGCCCAGTGGAGATGGGCCAAGGGCAGCATGGGACATACAGTTACTTTTCCTCTCTGTGAATAGACGATAAGGAGGAAAGGTGTTTGTTTTTGTTTTTTTTTCCTGATGCTCATACCCACAGCTGCTAGGGACTTCTGGAAACTGCTGAGCACCACATAAAAGCAAGCATAGGAGAAGGAAAAATTACTTCAGGCTTTTTCAAATGTGAAAAAATGGGTTTAAGCAGGGTAACAGGGACCAAAAGAAAGTTTCACATTCCCTAGGGGATAAAGGTGTTTCCATACAGGCACTTTTTGAGAAGCAACATGTGAGGGGAATTCACCTTTAATTCTTTTTGGCATTTAGTTCTTTCTTGGATCTACATGCCTCTGTGGGGTACAAGAGGAAATGGAAATTGAGATCCTGGAACTACTCTTGCTGTGCAGTTTCCCTAGGGATGCTTTTCTACAAAGCCAGGTTAAGTGAGACATTGCACTCTCTATTTCATGATAGCTGTGGAAGCAGATAAAGTTCTTTGTTAGGGTAATTTTCATAAAATGACAAATACATCATGTTTATAATTAGTGAGGGTTTTTTTCCTATTTTTTTCTTCTTCTGCCAAATGGGAGGCCTACAGAAACACAGTCTTGAGCATGAACTCCAGCATTTATAAAACAAGCATGCTGGAAACACAGAGAAAGGAATATATTTGCAACAAATACATTTTCTGTCATAGACAGTCATTGGAGGCACTGCTTGCAACAATTTCTCTTATGCTGCTATTGGGCACAACCGTGAGTCCAATTCTGATGACCTCCCTTGAAAGAAATGCTGGGATTGGTAGAAGCCCTCAAAAATGAGTTTTCTAATATGCTCAGGTCTGACGTGGTACATAGGAGAAGTATTGATACTTTGATGGGAGAACCATTATGCAAATGGTGTAAAGCCATTATTTAATACTTTCAGGCTAGTATTTTTCCTCTCTCCTTACTTCCTTTTTACTCAGTCAGTGTTGACAATGGACCGGGAACTCTCCAATAGTATGTAAGTGTACAGTCACTGCTCCAGGACCTACAGAAGAAATCTTATTGCAGGCAGAGCTTGGAGTAAGTTTTCATCACTGCTGCTGGGGCTGATTTCAATTCAAGGACATTACCAGGGTGATACAGCAGCCAGTCTACTTACCAGCAAGAGAAGCCAGTCTCCTGAAACAGTTTCATACTCTTTGAAAGTCGTCAGGACAGCTAAGATCAAACACCCCAAGACAATCAGAAATCTGGAATGAAATAAAAGGAAAAACCACAACATTGTTAGTCCTTTCTGTGTTTGCATTGGAGATGTTACCTACAAAAACCCGAGTGGAGACCTTCAGGGGATGGCTACCTCCCATTAGTGAGCAGTGAGGCGGGCTCTCACGAAGATCAAGGGTTCCCAACCTGGACAGGGAAGAGCTGGCAGTCAAGAAATCATGGCAAGATCCTAAATCAGAATGGTTCTGGGACAGATGTCCATTAACTTGACCACATTCTTCAGGAAGGAAATGGATAATCCTTTATTTTGGGAAGGTATTGTATGGTATGGCAGAGGACTGTAATGCTCAGGAGGTCTATTGCAAGCTGATGTGCTTCACAAAATGGCACTGCAGTTACAGCAGAATAAATCTACTTGGCACATCCTGAGACCTGAGAAACAGTAAACGCTTCAATACAATGCATCACCAGGACAAACCCTCCCTTGAAAACTGCACTGCATTTCTTTTTCTCTTTCCTCTTTTTCACTCATTTCTATGTGGATGAAAAGATAAAAAGGTTTGAAAGAGAAACAATAGAGAGGGTAAAGTTCTGCTTTCCAATAAACACAGTGGTTGATAAATCACTGTCCCTCTGCTATTGCCTGTCTGTGAGGCTCCAGAACACAGAGATTTGACAGAAAATTTAACTCCCACTGCTGGTAAATCCAATTCAGTCCAATCTAAAGTCACGTTGATCTGCTTTGTAAAACTATTCCCAGGTTCAAGCTATTCAAAATCTTTTATACATAAAGAGGTAAGAAAAATCAAGGAAGTGTCGTAAGTGATTTCTGTGAAGCAGACTGGGGGAAGCTCATATTCTAGTACTTCATGTACCCGGATCACAGGCATTTTAATGTGCTCCCAAAACCTGATCTGCAGGAACAGAGGGGCAGGTGGCCATGGAAATATTTCAGAGCTTAGTGAATAAATTGGAAGGACGTTTCCATAAAAGCTCTGGATCCCCTGCTTTCATAGTTAGGGTACATCAAAGAAATGATAGGCATTAGGTACTGAAATCATCCAGGAAAAAAAAGCTTTTTAAGACTCAAACTGTGTTTAGTGTGTACTACCTGTTTTGAATTTCAATCTGATACCTGAAGTGTGATTTCATTTCTTGCTGAATAAAACTCCACTTTGTTTCACTGGGTGAAATGAGCAGAGTCCACAGCCTGCAGTGTGGAGCAGCGAGCAAGGACCATGGGGAAGGGGGCTCAGCTCAGAGACGCATGTCCTCTCACCTGTCTTGGGATTTTTTTTCCTTCACGTATGGGGAAGCCTAGGGCTAAGGGAGTGCATTCTGCAGATTTGCAACGTTTTTGCAGCTGGAGTAAAGGGAGAGAGGTGAGCTCCAGATAGCTCCTGATGCCTTTTGGGGGGGGATTTCCCTCAAACAGCATCAACTAGCAACAGAGCAAGCAACAGTGAAACACTTCAGAGCAAATCCTGAAGGATTACATTGCTGTGGCTTTCCTAACATTAGCTATTCACACTGACGTTTCCTATGCCAGGAAAATTTTAGATCGGCCATTTCAACCAAGGTTAGAACAGAAACTAATGTGTTTGCTCATGCTAAATAATTCTGGATTTCTTTGACAAATTTCACCTTCTCCCACTCATCAGTCATACTCTAGAGCAAGGGTTATGTGGTTGGTAGGAAATAGCCTTTGGATCCATAATGCGTCTTTTGCCATCTCCCTATAACCACACTCATGCTGCTCAAGAAGACATTAGGCTGATAACTTAGCAATTCTGCGATGTTCCTGCCATGCCCTCAGGCTCGCTTTGTCACGCCGTACCTTGGTATCCCCACCTTGCAGTTACAAAGCCAGTGGCTCACTGGCCTCCCAGACCCACAATCCAGCTACCCTGCTCCTCCATGAGCAAACTGGTGAGAACTCAACCGAGACAACATGATTCCTTTGATTAGCTATAAACCACCTATGATCTGCCACATTACAGCCATCACAGTGGCACCATCACTAATTCTCCATTTAAATCCTTGAGCTACTGCTACTTGATGCTTTCCATTACAGCCGTTTCTTTATACTATGTGAAAATTTGGTCACCCATCAGCTCACAAGTATCATTTAAATGATTTAATGAAACGCAAAACACACTGAAAACAGTCCAAGGAAATTACATCATCAGCTACTTAAAACTAAAGGTGTGAATTTATGATATCCTTCAACAGAATAGTACTGTCAATTAAAGATAATGTGCAGATTTTTGTCCATGAGGAAGACAGAAGATAAGTCAGTAATGAAATCGTCATCTTTTGCCTAAAAATGACTGTGGTTTTACCACTAGAGGGTATCGATGCTCCGTAGAACAAGGGGCTATGGCTCATTCCTGTCTTCTTTTCCCAGGAAACAAACCCAGTGCAGGTGATTTTCCAGTGACCGCACGCATGTATTTGATGTACAAGAAAAGGAGTCTCACAGCAGTGAAAAGGATTTTCCTTGGTCACTAAAAAACCCAAACGTTGGCATTAATAGACAAAGGGTGCTGCTAGGTCAATTGCTCTATAAGCCACAGCCTGTGCCACAAGCCCCAGTGCTCAGAGAGCCCACCCATGAAAACAACAGATCATGCAAGATAAAAAATAAGTAAAAATAGGGTGGGAGGGTGAGACTGGAGGTCAGAAGTCACCATGAATAATTTTGAGGGCAAGTCTAAGTAGTGAATGTGGTCTGAACCCCCCATTGCAGGAAGTGCATGAATGCAGCCAAGAAGAGTGCCTCAGAGGTGCAACTGCTGAGCAGGAACACCAGTCCCAAAACCGACACAGACCACAGAGCCAGGGTCCTGCTCCTTCCTGCAGTACTCTGGGGTGTGTAGGGATGAAAAGCCTGTGTTGGGATACATAACTGCGATACATCTCGGAAGGGTCAGCTATCCTTCTACCACACTGTTTCCAAAGGATAAACACCCACTGCAAGTTAATCAAATCACATCTCAGCAATCCTCCCTTAGCACCTGAAATGACAACCACGTTCAGAGCACTTCACGAATTTTAATCTCCATTGATGCTATGCAACCCACCGATTTCCCTGCAGCCTCTTCTGTTTTGGATCTTGGTGTTTATGAAGCCTGCAAGCCTTCTGGTGTCCTCTTTCTATGGAAGCTGCTACACAGGTGTCATGGTTTCCTCATCAATCCCCTTTCTCAGTAAAGATGATAACAAGGTACAACTTCACCTTGCTGCTTATATGCTCATATTGTGGGCATATGTACCATCTGAGTTCATATTGTGGCCTTGCAAGCATAAAGACTCTAAAATTGCTTGACAGTTGCTGAGTCTATACCGTCCTATGGCAATAGGACAATAGCTGACTCTATATTGTTTCATTTCGTCTTTTAGAAGCAGCAGTGTGGATCCAGTGGTTGCACCTGACTGCAAAATCCTAACAGGCAAATTGCAGGGAAACTGCTGAATTCACAGAGGATGAGCAGAGGGGAGACTGACACTGACCTGGGGAATCAAGGGGCAGAGAGGGAGAGAGTCTCAAATTTGCTCAGTTGTAACAATACTATCCATGGGACACAGAACACCAAGGGTAAGAAGAAAGAAATAGGGTAAAAGTCAGGGTTTAGTAATGAAAATTGAGTCCTATTAAGCCTCAGCTTCTTATTGAACAGTGTTTCAGCAGGTGGCAGTCCAGACTTCAAGATTGTAAATCAGATATGCCAAATGAGGATCTGAATTTAGTTCTTCAGTTTTTAGAATCATCCTTGCTATCATTTTACATTATTTTTCACAGCTCATTACATTGTACCTATTTGCAGTATTATGCCTAAAATGCTGATTAATTTGCTGTATGTGTAAGATTTAGACCACCAAATGGCAGTGCTCTTTTGTCACTGTCACAACTAATATACTAGTCTAGTAAATAAATGCTCGTTATTGGAAATCACATGTTTAACATTCATATTTTCTAATTGTACCATTTAAGACAGTATTCCAAAACCAATACACAATTTTTCCAGGAAAGAAGTAGTAATTTATGACTATGCTAGACCATGAATCTCATGTTGCTTGGATGAACATTGCACACTGTTTTGTCTGAGAAATTTTGATTTATTTTAATATTTCGCATTCTTTGAGTTTTTCTTCTATATCTGCTTTCATTTGAAGCCAATATAATGCAGATCTAGCTGAGAAATCTTGTATTTTTCCCATATATAGGTGCTTGTCATGTATATTGTTCACCATTTCTTGCTTCAAAATTTTAGAATCATAGAATTTTAGGATTAGGATTTATGTGATCTGCTTTAGGAGCAGTTCACTTAGTAATTTGCCTATAATCTATTCCAAAATGTAGCAATCCTTTTGAAGCTGTCAAGAGGACTAGGTGCATCATAGGCAGGCCAAACCATGTTTGCATCTGGCATTATTTTGGCAAATTTTTGTGCTGTGTGGCAAAATGTTAAATCTCAATTAGGCTTACAGTTAATAGAGAGGAATATGGTGCTTCTAGCGTACAACTCATGCTGTTTTAAAGTAGACAGCTCAAGCTGGCCAGAAGAACCTACAGAGACAATTACTTCTCTATAACTGTAAGGAAAGACTCTAGCGACTAGCTCCTTTGGAGATGTTTATTGTGTAAACTAGCTGAATGCTACCCCTTATGTTCAGCCATGTTTTGGATATAATTACAAACACCACCTTTTAATAATATTTATATATTTTTACTACTGGAAGAACTAGCCATACCAGCCCACTTCTTACCTGACCAGGTTTCTCTGAAATCCCTTGCTGTAAATTTAGGCATCACATCTACATGTGGTCAAGGATCCTGCTTACAAAATAATAATCCAGGCTCTGGGCAGGAAAACCTCTTGAACAGTTATGAGTAAGAAATCCTCTCCAGTGCAATAGTGCATAGACTCCTGCTTGCTCTCACATCTTCAGTACCATTTCTTGCAAGCCACTGGAATTTTCTCCGTCTCTGAATGTTCATATGAATCTGAGATTTATCTGATTT